TTTGGTTGGTTTAGAGTTTCTAATGGGATGAGAGACTCTTGGAATGAGTCAGAGCAATATTTCAGCTGGATTTATTGAAATACTGAACCAGTACTTACTGCATTAGACACTTCCTGACAGGAAAAACAAAACAAAAATTTTCCTGGATTTTAGGAGACTCAGAAAAAGTTATTTTATTAATTGTATTTCTAAGTACAGAGTTTGATTTGTTTTTGCATTTTTTAATACAAAACACTTTGAAAAATTCTAGTCTTCTCCCATAGTTTCAGCAGGGAAAACTGGTATATGACAAACAAATACAACTTATCTATAGACTGAAATAAGACCTGCATTTTAAAAAGAATCTCACACTTTTGGATATGGTTGCTAAGAAAAATTATAACTCTACTTAATCCTTCTTCAAATAATCTCTGACTTCCATAATCTCTGGACTATGACACCTGTTTTCATGTGTGATGAGAGATCAAAAGGATACCTCTTGCTGTTAAGCCTGTATACCCCATTGTACTGTAATAAAAATGAAGTAACAATTGATGCATCACACTAAAGGCTTAGTGTCAGATAAATCAAATCAAAAGCTTTCGGTCTCCCTCTTTGATGTATTGGCTGTGAGTTTTTCCTTGAGAGTAACCACGCAGGCTTTGGAAGCCCAGGAGTGCAAAGCAGCAGAAAGATCTGAAAAGGGGAAAAAGTAGTGTTGTAACACCTGAGGGCCACGGCCATCTTCTCATGCATCAGTCCTTTCAGTGGCACCAAGGGAATGAAAGGATGAACAGGAGGCAGCAGGGGTGTGTTTGTGTCTGTGCACACCTGTGTACAGAGAAAGAACAGTTATACTGGTCAGCTTCAAGTACTGTCCCTGAGGGGAGAAACAGGACCAGGAGGGCTATGTTTCTCTCTGGGGGTCAGCTAGGGAGAGATACTGTGACATAAAATATCTGTCCTCCGAAGAAATATCCACAGGGAGAAGAGACCAGGTCTTTAGTAAAGAACATATGGTTTAATTAATTTGACAGAGGAAAAATATATCCAGATACATTAGCATGTGGCCATGTATATTTAGAAATTTGATTTCTGAAGTTGTGACACCTAAAGAAAAAAATTTTGAAGGTCACTAGGGTTTGCAGTGCACGAGTAAATACTATTAACGTTTTCCCCTGTTGAGACAGACAGAAAACCAGCATTTGAGCCCAGAATCAGATTAGTTTAATTCCTTCCAATGCTTTCCTGCTGGCTGGCTCCAGGCAACTCCCTGCTTACTGCCCAATTTATCCCCATCTGGATTTTCTGTGGCCTTTAGAAAGGCCTGTTTGCACTGAACAGGTACCAGCACCAGGCAAGAACTCTGGCTGTGTGCCTACAGCACACGAAAACTTCCTGCTCCCACCATCACCTCTAGCAAAGGTAAACCTAGTGCCTACAGTAAGAACTTGGGAGGCCAAGGGATAGTGCTACTGGACTAAGAAACGTCCTGGTGTAGGGCACGGAGCGATCATTAGATGATGCCATTACACAGACTCTTGCACTGCACTGAGATAATTTCCTAAGGGCCACTAAACAGTTCTTGTATGTCAATATAAAAATGGACACAAGGAACTTTTTCCTTTCCAAGGGTTAAACGTGATTTTCAGATACCTTGGCGTGGGCATGCCTGCATCGGCATCAGGGGCTATGGCCATGCCGCAGCCCTGCCAACAAGGCAAAGTTGCATCAAAAGCCATTTGCCACCGCAGCATCGCCTTGTCCCTGAAATAAGGAGCAGGCTCCGGCAAGGCTTCCTAGACCACAGGCATTGGTTTGAGTGAGCACAGTGCTACCCTGATGCTGATCAACAGCTTGCAGGTTCACGCTAAGTTTCTCGGTGGCGAAGCTGTACTCACTGCGTCGTGTTGCTTCCTCACGCTTTGCAGGAGCCTCAGCGCCTCCACTACAGCAGGGGAGGGAGAGGAGGAGGAGGGGGACAGTGGTTCCCAGCAGAGCACAACACTTACACGACATCCTGAGTAGGTGCACAGCTCATCGGGCCCTCCACCTCCGTCCATGTCTGCCCAGGGTTAGAGCATGGAAAGTCTCTCCATGCAGAGACAAACACCATTGGCAGTCAAAACCCTCTACGACCCCAGAAAGGAGTGGGGGAGGAAAGGAGGAGAAAACACCACCCTTTCAGTGACTCTGATTGGTTTTTTCCCATGTTTATTTACTTGGCACTGTCACAGTATGTTTCCATTTATAAAATTTAAAAAAATTAAAACTTCTATCTTTAAAAGTGGCAACTGAATAAATAAAGCACAAACATAAAAGACAATAAACATGAATGGAAGAAAATCAGATGTGAAACATTGACGTAGAACAGTAAGTTACATAGATGACTACCTGATTCGCTTTTGTCAGCCAACACTTTCTTCCCCTAACATCCATAGTTAGTCTCATAAGCAACCTGGCCAGGTGCAAGTGCCATATGCTTTTTCTTTTCTCCCTGAAGAAATATTTTTTTAATGATTTCTTTCTTCCTGTTTCTGTGACAAATATAGTTCTTCTTTAACCTAGAAGGCTCTCTAAGGCCTAGTGAAACTAAGCATGAATCTATCCTGAGGAATTTGTGAAGCAAACAATGGAAAAAAAAAAACCTAGTATCTAGTCTGTCTGGGACTAACAAATATTCTGAATGAGAAAGATTTGATTAGAATCTGAACATCCCATATTTTCAAATAAAGGGAAAACAGGACAGCCGAGACTTCACTTGTGATCTCTAAAGAAGAGAATAAAAGCTGTTGCTGACATTTGCGTTTGTGCACAATGTCCCAAGAACACTTGGCTCAGGGGGTGCTCCTAAAAGTAATGTCCACATTCATCTTCCTGAGCAGGGGGAAGAGAAGCAGCAAAATATGGCGAATTTTCCAGTATTCTTTAAAAACCGTAACAAATTAAAACAAAACAAAAAAACAGGGTAAGAGCACACCATGTAAATGGTAGTCCCTTTCCATAATAAATACACTAAACAGAGAGAGAAATACATTTTGTGAAAAGTTATTTTAAAACAAACTTAACAGGGCAAGTCCCCAGGTGCAACTTAATGACTTCACATTGAACCATCAATGTTATTTTGCCTTTCCCCCAAAAGATTACGCCATTACTTCACCTGGCACAACACAATGGTGAGAAACACCATGTGCTACGCAGGGCTTGTCTTCTCCAAGGTTTTCATTGGCAATAGTGGGCATAACACTGCCGCACCACAGCCTGGTATAGAAATATCCCAAAGCCAATTTCCCAGCCAGCTGTATGACATTACAGAACATCCATCATCGCCTTCGGAAGTACAGAAGGAAATGCCATAGTAAGCTGGAGCCCTTAATATTTATGAATGCAAAGAAATAAAGACTTCCTCACATCATATGGTCTTTTTAATTAGTTTTATAGCCATGTATACACTTGAAAAGAAAATGTAACCCTCATCGTATCACATTGATAAAACAGCGTGCACACAAAGTGCTTTACAGAAGTTGTACAGTATACATTCTGCTTGGAAGCACCAGTGCCTATTAACGGTGACTAAGGCTACCTCATGTACTTGTGCACAGATTCACTCATCGTGAGCCGTATTTATATTTGGAAGTTCAATACACTGGATGGAGAAGCAGCCTGAGCCACTGTGCACTCTCACCTGAATATACCTAGGCAAATACAGGCAAGCTATTATTTACTGTAAATAAACAGTAAATAATTATAACATCCAATAATTGTCAGATTAATTCAGATTAGCAGTAGAATCTTGTCACTTCAAACAGACTGTGGTTCACTAAGGAGTTTTGTTCATGAGTCCCTTTTACTCAAAGACACAAAGTGTCTTTGTGGGCAAATTCTTAAGAGAATAATTTTTTAAAAATCAGAAAAGAAATGGGCTATGGAATCAAATCTGAGACACTAAATGTATTCACTTTTTCTAGTTAAGCCTATCCATTACCTATTGTTCTTCTCATTACACTAGAAAATCAAAGGAACACCTAAAGCTGCTAATGTCCACTAGTACCTCCAAGTAAAGGATGTCTATGAAGACTTCCAATGTATTGGGGTGGTGCTCAGCTCTCTCGGGATTAGGCCTTTAGCAACCTTAGATTGCAGACAGAGGGGCTTCCACAAAGTATTGAGGATTTCTGTCCTTAGACTGGCCTGATACTCTTCTGTTGAGATCCTCAGACTTCTAGAGCTTGCAGCAATGTCTTGAGCTGGGAAAATCCTTTCCAGAGCTGACTTTGAGAGATGTGGTTTTCTGCACTCACAGCTGGGCTCACAGTATTATAGAAAGAAAATAAAACCATGAGAGATGACTATGGAAATGAACATTAATGGTTACTAATAACATAATTTAGCTTCAGTTAGAATGAACAAGACAACAATTATACATGAAAAATTAGCTTTTATTAAAAATGTTTAGTAATAGGTAATGACTTTTCAAAATTATTTTTACTTACTAAACCTAAACATACAAAGTCAGAAGCAAACAAGAAATTGCTTTGTTAAAATCTTACTGAAGGTTAACTTGTCAGTAGTTCTATCAGATTTCCTGCAAGGCTTGCTTTTAAAATGTCTTATTTATTGTACTATCAGCTTTCCTTTACAGAGATGCTCATCCTCCAGTTGAAATGTGTAGTCATCAACATGGATGATTTGATTCATTTATATAAACAGAAGACAGAAAAATTGAGTCGTATCCATCTCTCAATATAAAACCTATTTCTATATGTCACGCACATAATTTAGAGCCCAATACACTGGCTTCTGAAGCCAAAGACAGCTCTTACACTGACTGCAGCGTGCACCATATCAGAAGGGCAACATTACTAATTTCATATTAATTGGTGCAAGTATTCTTTGGTCACAGACATCCTCTATCTACCCAGTTTACAGCATTTCAGAAGCTATTTTCCACCCATTTTAAGTAGGTTCTTTACATTTTTATTTTATTCCATGGCTTTCAGATTTTTCTCTTGCATGTATAATCATACCTGTGTGTATGCATGTGCACAAATTTATTCGCGTTTTTTCTAAAAAGACAGATCAGGAGTGAAGAAAGGATGTCCTTTATCTTCTGATACCTTTCAGATGTCAGTCTGCAACAGCTCTAGTCTAAAAAGGCCTTTTACTGGAGTCCCTCTGGATAGGCAATTTGAATTTAGTACACTGCATCACTAAAGTTTTCAGAATACACAAAATATGAAAATTGTGATCTTTTTATTACATTGTCTATTACACTGTAAAGCCACATTATTCAAAATCAAGGTCTTATTTTTGGTGGGAAAAATTTAAGAGAGTAAGGGAAAAGCAAGCTGCTAATGATGCAAGCAAGAGTGTCTGGATAGTGACACTTTGCTTAAAAGGCACACCAAGAAAAGGCAAGCCAGGTTCCTCTCCTGATGGTTTAAATCTGTTTTATATTTTTTCTTATATATAGATTTGCATATATATATGTGTGTATACCTACACAAATATATGTACACACACACACACCCTTTGAGTTTTTGAGAACAGAAACTTCAAGAATTAGAAATTAATTTTAAATAAATAAGAACCATACTAACAGGGGCAGGTTGGTGCTGTTATTTTTTTGCTTCATTCTGATTATAATCTAATGACACAGTGATATGGTTACACCATTTTTTCCTTTACATCATTTCATTGTATAAATATGAGGCATAAGACTACCAGGTGCATTTTATCTTGCCTAAGGTAATTTTTATGGATCTTCTGTGGTTTTGGTTTTTCATAAGGGATGGTCATTACTTTAAGAAATAGAAAGAGAGTTGAGGGTAAGGATGTTCTCACAATCACAATTAAAATTTATTTGACTCTAGGGTTTACATGTGAGAGTGTGGCATGCACGCAAACACACACACAGAATGACAATGACAACAATGGCTGTATACAGCTCAAACCCAACTACTGGTCCCAGCATGGCTGTAGCATGCTGATCCTGTAAAAACTTTTGTTTTCCTTTTGCATAAGCTTTATGTTATAATGCACCATTTCCAAAATCTGCACTGTTCCATCTAAATGGTCCACGTATGATGACGGTAAATGTTAAGAGGTATGAGATGATTACTAACTTCGACAAAACATTTAACAGAAGATGCCCATACAGTAGTCACCATTAAAAGTTTAACAGCTGAAGGTTGAATGTAAAGATCTTTTCAGCTGTATTGTTTAAAGAAGTATGACTATCACAGTAAAGTTATTTACACAAAAGGCAACGATAGTAAAGATATCAATAGAGAACACAGTAGATTGTTTAGAAAGTGGATCACATTTTCTGCTAAGTCTGAAATATTTCTTGCAATGTTGTAAATTCTACCTACTAGATATCCCACAATATAAACCAGACAGAAGAACTTGTAAAAAGATATTAAGAGCTTGGTCCTGCATTTCTGATTCCCCCAAATCTACCACAGAAGACTGAGGAATTTTGAATGTTTAGTGATTGCAGGACAAAACCCTCAGAGGGCTGCAAAATGTTGCTGCTTTTCAGTACTTATTATATATAAGTATTCAATTTATTTTCTTTGGCTTTTAAATTACTATCCCTTTGTATCTATAATGTGAAAACAAACCAAACCCAAACCACTAATAACTCCCCTCTCCCCTCAAAACAGTGATAAAAAACCTAAATGAACCAAAGGACATATCCAAGAAAGTGTAGCTGTTACTTCATTATAAAACTACGGTGCAAAATAGAGGTTTATACTGGTCAGAATTGCAATAGCAATTGGAAATTTACACTGAAGGAGTGACTGCAAGTATTGCTTCTCCTGAATAACAGAAAAATCAAAACTGATTAGGCACTTGTCTTCTTGTTTAATGAGACCATTCAGTGTGCGTAAAAATGACAAAAATACTCTCTAAAAGAATGCTCTGTAGTGTAACAACTGTATTGCTCAACTACAGCCACAGTCCCTGATTCAGGAGAGCAGAAAAACATGTGTCTATTACTTATTTTATGCTTAAATCCTACTGATATGGATGCGCTGGAAACATGTTCAAGTGCTGTCCTGAATTGGGACGCTTGCTGAAATTGGAGTTTTAAAACATAATACAGTGGTGAGCTTCTTTTCATTATACTACAATACCAACTTTATCTAATCTGGCTCTGCTCTCCACTATATTATCCTAATACTTCCTAATAAAAAAGAAAACTGGCATAAAATAAATAGGATAACCAGAGATTACATAATAAATATGCTACTAAGTGGGAGGAAAATATATTGCGACATAAGGCTCTGTAGTGTTGCACAATCAAGAAATCGTTCCAGGTGCTCCAAAACACAAGTCCTAATGTACAACACCAAGTTACCACTATACACCTGAAAAAGATTGGGAAGTAAGAGATTAAACTTCTATTACATTAAACATTTGAAAATATAAACAAGTGGTAATGTGTTTCGTTGCCTTTGCAGAACACCATATGTATGTTCTTGCACTACTCCAATTGTCATTGCTTGTGAAGGAAAATTCAAATATTGGGTTTTTGAAAACTCTCATAATCGAATTCCTTCAGACTTACAAAGTTACCAGTGTCCACACTGACTCATAGTATTATCTCTGAAAGTAAAACACACTCAGAAATTTTGTTGCCTCCGTTTTTTTGCATCCATTGCGTCTAGGATAGGTTGCCTCTTTGCAGTGTACCTCTGACGAAGCTCTTCAATTTCTCGTTCCATCATAGGGTCCAAAGCCTTTAATCGCATCTGTAATTCTTCTAAACTCAGGTTCTTTAACTGTAAAACAATCAACCACCAAAACAAAACAAAAACAAACAAACAAACAAAACCAACAACAAAAAACAAAACACAAAAAAGATTAAAATCTGTTTACAACAAAAATGAAAACCACCACCTTTTATAATCCTTTAATTTACAGCTGCAGTGTTTTTACACACTTTGAGTGTATGTATACACATATGTAATTGTTTATATAACCAAAAGCCTTTGTATGCTCCACAGTAAATAATTTAACAGCATATGAAAACACAAACGCACACAGTACATTTAATTAAAAAAAAAAAAAAATCACTTTGCAAACCTTGCAAATAGATTATAAATAAATATAGGGCTGGAGTTTGACTCATTAGGCTGAAAAAAAGCATGCCACAGTATACACAACTATATTCATGTATATAAATCATATTGCTTAATCAAATACTTCTTACTGAACTTCAGTCTCTTATAGAAGCCTGAAAAACAGACAGCTGCTGCAAGTAACAGTCTGACAGATATTTAGAGGTACTTTCTGATAAGAATGACAAGGCACTTGTCTTCCTCAATAGATTGCTGCCAGAACTAGTCAAAGCAAATTGCTAACAAGAGTGTTTAAATAATACATGAAATAATTTCCTGAATTCATGGGATAGAGTTACCTTTGACCAAGCTCTTTTCTTTCTAAAAATATTTTCTCACAATGTTAAATAGTTCACTATATTTCATTCATTAAAAGCGATGGGTCATAAAACAAGTAAATAGCTTCGCTGGCTTGCCGGCTGCTGCGAATAAAGGTTGGAGTCTTGTCAGGTACTGGGGCACATCGGGCACTACTGCCCCAGTGGCTCTTGCAGGGCAGGATGTACATTTGAAATATGTTCCTTTGGTTGGCCTACATATTTTTCTCCTGATGAAGTCTAGTGCCTCTCTGCATTTCTCTCGTCAGAATTGCCTATGTGCCAACTACTCTTCACCGAGTGTGAAAAATATCAACAAATTTCAGATAGCACAAATAATTTCATCCAAAGAAAGGGATAATCTATATTTTGTTTGCAAATATTCTGACATTACAAACAAGCACACCGCCTAACTTGGGGGGGGAGGGGGGACATTTTCTGAATCAACCTGATAATGAGTCAATACTTTGTTCATGAATCTAGGGCAGTCTTCCATCAACACAATCTGATCTGTTTTCCCTGAGGAATGAAATACTACTTTTGATCTTTATTTTTATCAGCATCTGAGGCATATAAATTAGCAACACATATTGCTACATACAATCCAAACCCCAGTATTATGACTTCTACTAATAGACTACATTGTACATAGTAAAAAAAATAACTGAAAGTCATAATAAAGAGGGAGTGCAGATCAGAAATTAATAGAAGAGCATATGGAAGAAGATGCACATTTTCATGCAATGTCATTTTAACCATAAGATTCCTAATGAAGCTGAGAACTAAAGCCCAGATGTCAAAGTATCTTCCAGGACCAAAGATCCTTACACCTGTATAAGCTTCAGAGACCTCAGATATGCTCAGTAGCTCATCAGTGATGTCTGTCTCTCCCAAGGCAAATTTCACCTTTTATTTCTTAGGGGGGGAAGAAAGACTTGCCTCTCAAATAATTAAATACCATCTAGTTTACTACATTTCTCCCATTTGATAAATGCAAGAAAGGATGGGAGAAAGGAATCATAATTCCTCAGTCACCAAGGCTCTTGCAGAAAAACACCTTTCCATTTTCAGAGAAAGAAAAGATTAAAAAAAGTCCATTCTCTTTCATTTGTAGCCAAGTAGTAAATGTAACTGGCACATTACAGACACTTTTCAGTGAAGATATTCTTTAGAGGAGTGAAGTGTCAGAGAGATTTGCAGTAAAATGAGAAGAGATGACAGTGCCGATTCCCCTCTGTAACTGATTCCAACGCAGCACAGATGAGAAGAGCAATAAAGCCATGTTTCTTATCATGTGTGAGAGAAGAAATATATTTGGGGCACCATGGACCAGCAAATGGGCTAAGGAAGGCACCGTGAATAATCTCGTGTGTGAGTGTTTTGTAAGAACTGCCACTGATGAAGTCTCCTACCCGCTCTGGGCCAGCCTGCGCAGCCATTTATTCCCTCTCAGTCACCACTGTAGACATCAGGCTTAAACTGCACAGAAAAGCTCCAGCTGATGCAATCACATAATTATTCTGCACTGAAAAACATTTTTTTATAAATTGTCAGAGGAGAATGTGATGGGTGAGTTTTTATTTAAAATTCAATCAAGAAACAGAGCCAGCAAACAGAATTAAATATTCTTTAAAGATCACAGACAGCTGGGTGGAAATCAAAATACAAAGAGAATGAATTTTTAAAACCAGAGAATAAGAATCGTTCAGAATGATCTCAGCCATGTCACCCAGGGGACCCAGGGAGCCGCAGTACTCATCTGTATGAATGGCTGATGCTCAGGACATTCAAATGAAGTAAATGACAGAAAACAGGGACGTTAAGAAACTGAAAACAGAGTTATGATGGTCTCATCTATCTGACATCAGATGCTGGATTAGGCAGGAACAGTCAGAGACCTCTATGTACTATAGAAAACCATTTAAGCACATCTAAAAGCCAGAGCTGGCTCTAGCGGGGGGTGTGTGTGTGTATGGACATATGTATCTCCTTGGTAAATTTCAAAATATTTTTTCTTAACTTCTGTCTGCGCTATAGATATTACCTTGTGAAGCCTGAGGCCTAAACGCTGAATGCCACAGCAAATATATCAAATGAGATGCACAGAAATAACTCAAGATATTTAATTATTCCTATGTAATTTATTCCCCTGCATGATAAATATTTTGATTCAAATTCTTAAAGTGATAGAGCTCAGCACTCATTTACTTCCACTTGCAACCAGTTTGCAATTTAAACTGCCATAAATAATTTCCCATATAGTTTGTTGTAACTACTAGGGCTACTGGTGTTAATAGGAAGGGAGAGGAGGGCATTCAGCTGTGCAAGCTACAGGAATTCAAAAAGGCTTTAAATTACATTTTGATAGCTTTTTAAAAGCTGTAAACCGTAGCAGTTCAGTAATCAGGACAGTATGTGTCTGACAACAACAGATAGTTCAATTTCTGCCACTCCAAACAACAGAATCGATCGTGTCCTTTTGGAGATCAAACGTCCACAATCACACAACAGCCAGCAATTAGTGTCAAGATGGGCCACGGCCCAAGACAGAGGTCTTCAGTGAATGGGGTTTCTGGTAAAAGCATTTGCCTTCACTGGGACCCTTCATATCACCAGGTAATCACGTGGGTGTGGGAAAGCAACACTCCAAGTTCCACTTTACAATGCCTTGAATCTATCAGTTACATATAATAATATGTAATGTTCAGAAAGTATGTGCATCTGTTTTACACATACATATAGTCTTTTAGAGCTGGCATGCATACTCAGTTTTCCAGTAGAAAAATTAGGTGTTTACGGGAAAAAAACCCCAAACAAACCTTTTCTCCTGAAAGGTATATTTGTTAACCTAATAACTAAAGAGACTTACAATGTGTAAGGGAAGCAAGGAGAAAAAAAACAAAACAAAACCATCTCCAGAGCCAGATATTATTGAATAATTTCATTTACAAGCTGACAGGTTTTTAAGACACTGTCGCAACTAAAGAAGCCCCACTGAAATTCTCTACTCTGCTTTGCTAGAGCAAAGGAAATTGACTTTGCCTACAAAGAGACCAGCTAACAGTCATCCTTGTGGGGTGAGCTGCATCCCAGTGCTGGCAGCTGAGCTCTTGCCTCTGCCTTCTCCTCGCCCTGATGCAGGGGGAAATCCTGGTGGAAGAAAGGTACCCGTGCAGAAAGGAGCTCCATCAACCCAAGCTTCCAGTGGCAAAGATCCTTTCAGCAGCACCAACTTGAGCTGGAACAACCAGCACAGAATCAAAGCATAATTAACCTTTTAACTGAACTGTAATTTTCAGTTATAATCTTTGGAAAAGGCAACCCAGCCACACACTTAGGAGATCAATCAGTCTGGAAACCTGGTGTACCTTATCTTGAACTTTTAGCAAATGGGACACCAATCATTTACCTCCTCCTGGCTCATTTTTCAACTTACTCGTAACAAGGTTAGAGACTTTTCCAGGAAAGGCTACATGTAGAAGTTAAAAAGCCGCAGAACAGATTAAGAATCATTAGCAAGCTCTTCTTAATGTGACCATCTTCATTAAGCTGGGATACAGTAAAAATCCAAAAGTTGGGGCAGCTCCAGACACGAAGTGATCCAGTTGTGATCAGAGCACAGGTCAGAGCTACAAGTGCTCCAGAGATAGCTGCACTACCATTGTGTGAAGCTGGCAGGAACCACTGCTAATCAGTCTGGGGTTTTAAGAAGCCATAATCAAGTTTTGTAGCTGAAGAAAAAATAATCCAGTGTTATCATGCAAGGTTGGTCAAATACAACGCCATTTAGCATTTCATTGGAAGAATATTTCCTATGCAGAAAACATTCTTACTCTGGTCAGTACTGGTTTCAGGTTGATCACTTTTTTTACATGTCTTCAAACAGTGACACACAAGGAATTCTTTCCTCACATACTGATGCAGTCATCTCACAGAACCCAACTTCAGCAAGGGAAGTGCAATAATTTTTACTTTGTTAGTCTTTCAGTCTAACTTCTTGCACCCCAGATGGACCAGCTTCATTTGGATCAGTATTTTCAGCAAACCAAAGGGGAATTACTCGCAGTCAATACTACTCCTGCCTGCAGGAGGACCCACACTGTACCCTACATGTTTTGTTCACAACCCTAGTCAAGTCATACTGATGAAAATTCAGACCAAAATGGGCACTTGGAAAATATAGATGCGTTTCTGCCCACAGACCCGAGTTCTGTAGCAATAAGCTGAGAAGTAAGGAGATAAAGTACAACCAAAAATGGACTCTCAGAAGGCATCAAGTCAAAGGGTGCAATGCAAATCCCAACTACTTGCTTTCATCTGTGTCCAGCACAGGAGACAGGACGA